GGGACGTCTGCGAGGAATGGAGGGGCCTCACCCTGCCGTTGGAGCCGGGCTGCACGAGCTTGGGGGACCGTCCTCAGGGTGCCCGACGGCAGGCGCCCATACACTGCCATGCCCACCCAGCTGAGCAAGCCGGCCTGCTGGGGCTGCTGCACGTCCCCCCAGCTCGTTTCAGTTCATGAATGACCCCTAAGGCACTGCATGGATGCCCTCACGTATAACTAGGTCCCCCCGGCACAAGCTGAGGCCAGTAACAACCTGGATTAATTCACTAAAAATACGTCAAACCACGACCTCACCCCTCCTCCCATCCCGCCACGGCCCACAGATGCAGGGAACACAGGGCAGCGGCTCCTCTGTCACGTGGGCCTCCACCAACCGCTGTCTACACCGGATCCGAAGACGCAGCAGCTGAATGTGACGTGGCAGGAAGGGCCGTTCTCGGAGGAAATACTCTCGTGAGGAATTAAAACTGTGAAACAGGGCACCGGGGTGGCCCGGCGGTTTAGCGCCGCCTTCGGCCCAGGGCGTGATCCTGGAGTCCCAGGATCGGGTCCCACGTCAGGCTCCCTGCATGGAGCCTGCTTCTCCCTCTGCCTGGGTCTCTGCCTCTCTCTCTCTCTCTCTCTCTGTGTCTCTCATGAATAAATAAATAAAAATCTTTTTAAAAAATAAATAAATAAAGCTGTGGAACAGCCTCTCATGGCGCTGGCTTCGGGGTCCGGATCACACCTTGCGAGCAAAACCACAGACCGAGGCAGGAGCGGGGACCTCCCATGCCAGCGCCAGCGACCCAGGCCCAGGCCCTGCCACCGCACAGTCCCGGAGACGGGCTCGCAGCTCCGCCTGGGGATTCTGAGAAGCCTGAGTGACGCCAAGAGCTGTGGATCGCTGGAGGAGGAGGGCATCGCAAGGCCCTGGGGGCGGGGGGAGCGGGGCGCCCTCCCTGGCACAGACGCAGACCCGGCCTCCAGCCTGGAGCCCAGCGGCGTTCCCGAGCAGGGGCCGAGGGCACAGGGGCAGGTCTCCAGGCTCCGGGGCAGGGGCGCCAGGTGCACCGACGCACCGTGAACACACACCTGGGCTCTGAAACCCGACACCTGCGACGGCTGGGACGCATGAGGCCGGCCCCGTTTGCTGGTCCGTGTGCCACACCCGGGGACGCCCCGCTCGGCACCTCTGAACCTTCGGGGAGACAGCTCAGCTTCTGCGGGAGGTTCGAGGGCTCCCCACTCGGCAGCCACACGGACAGGCAAGCGGGGCCCCGGCGGCCGCCCAGGACCCCCTCCTCTCCAGCAGGCTTCCGTCTCACCCACGGGGGCGCCCGGCGAGCAGAGTATCTCAAATCCCAAACTAGCCAGCGATCCTGCCTGAACTCTTTACCTTCCCCCAAAGCGAACTAATCCAGGTGACCACGGTCACCTGCGAAGAGCAGCTGTTCCCGCGCACCCAGTGGGATGGCGCAGCCACTCGTTGGCCACGGAGAGAAGCCGCAGCCCCGGGGACCCGCGGCAGCAGGCGAGACGCCCCCGATGGGATCACAGCCCGGGCCCGTGCCTCGGGGCGCCCTCGGGGCCCAGACCTCGCCTGCGGGGCTTCACTGCCTGATGGCCAGGGACACGGTGACCTCAGTCCAAGCTCAGCACTCGGCTCCCGGCGGAGCCCGCGGCCCCCGGCCCGGCCCCGTTTCTGCAGCGTGGCTCTCCCCTTGGCGCTGACGCAGAGCTGGGCTCACCGCACACGAACCCGCCCCGGGGAGGGTGCCACACGCGCAGCCTCTGCCCCCCTCCCCTGTCCCCCCACCCGGCCTGTGGATGTCCCAGAGGAGCCCACCGTGCCCGCCGTCCCCCAATACACTGAGCAGCAAGCAGGGCCGGACGTTAGGCCTAAGCCCGTGCCCCAGACCAAAGACCAAAGCATCACGGTCGCCTGCCAGGAAATCCTGCAAAACCCCCAGCTCCCAGGGACCCTGTGGGCTGCGCGCACTCGGGGTAAGCAGGGACCCCCACCGGCAGAGCCGCATCCCAGCTCCTGGCAGACGGAGCTGTCCCCCGATTATCCCAGAGCGGCTGGCAAAGTGCGGCCCTTCTGCGCCGACGGCGACCGCGTCACGGTTCCGGAATAAGAAGGGCCTTTGTCACCGCGGAGGCATTCTGTCCGGCCACTCAAGCTGGGCTGCCGAGAAAAGTGACTGCGGCTACGATTCCCCCAAGGCCGGTCTACGGAGAAAATGCTGGTCGGTCGCTCAGCAAACTGCCAATTAGGGCGGCCAGAAATGCCGCCACCGGTGATAGCGAAGACTTCTGGAATATTCTCTGAGCCAAAGAATTCAATCCTCTAAGTAGCTGGCTCTGGGCCCTTCAAGAAATGGTGCCAACAGGGGGGCTCACTTCCCAGCTGCCAGGAGGAGTGGCCGGGCTGGCCACAGTGTCACACACGGAGGCCCACACAGGTACACACACACGCACGCATTTGCATGCACACATGCATGCACCTCCAGGCATGTGGGCACACACACGCATACTATACACATGCAGGCGCACACGCACGTACTGTATACGCTTCCAGGCACACACACATGCATGCACATCGGGCACATGTGCGCACACACACAACTACACACATGCAGGCACACAGGCATGTACTATATACACTTCCGGGCACACACACATCCATGCACATCTAGGCACATGTGAGCACACATATACTATACACATGCAGGCACACACGCACATACTGTATACACTTCCAGACACCCACACGTGCATACCATGCACACATGCATACTATACACATGCAGGCACACACACACATACTATATACAATTCGAGGCACCCACACATGCATGCACATCCAGGCACACACACATGCATGCACCTCCAGGCACACGTACGTACACACATACCATACACATGCAGGCACACACGGTACTGTATACACATCCAGGCACACAAACATGCAAGCACCTCCAGGCACGTGCGCACACACACAGGCAGGAGGACACAGGATGGGCAGCACTGCACTGCTGTCCCAGGGGGGCTCTCACGTCTGCCCCACAGTAGTAACAAGGTATAAGCTGTGTAGGACAAGGGTCATATAATGGACACCCTCAGGGTTAGGGCCACATCTAAATCCTCCTGGGGGAGGGGGAGAACCCCTCTTGGAATCCAGAAAATTCCTGAGCCCCAAACAATCACTTAAAAGCAAAAGGGCACATCTGCAGGCAACGCAGACCGAGAATACACCAGGGCTGGAAACGAGCCACTCTGTGAGTGTGTATGAGCCAGGAACCCCTGGCCTAGACCAGAAAGGCGGCTCCTCCAGAGTGAGACGAGAAGTGAGGCAGAAGTGCCCACAGCCCCGCCGTGAGCGCCCGTCCCTGAAACAGCTCAAACGCATACCACGTGACATCTCGGAGGCAGGGGGCCAGGCGTTCCGAGGGGGCGGGGGCAGTGCTGCTGGCCTGGGGCTGGGCGGCCGTGTAGCGCAGGCCTCTGCACCTCACTGTCCGCTTCTCCTGCGCCCCAAATCCCCCGTGATGGAAAGTTCAAAAAGATAAGTCATTCCATCTCTTTCTTGAAAACACGCATAGGGCCAGCCTGTAGTTCCAGCTATGTGTATACGTGTGTGTGCGTGGGAATGTACGTGCGTTCCTGTGCATGTCTGTGCATGTGTCAGCTGTGAGTATAAACTGAACTGTGCGTGTGCATGCACGCATGTGGGTATATACGTGTTCCCAGATGCGTGAGTTTTGCATGTGTGTGCATGCGCGTGTGTGCATGTGCTCCCGCATGAGTGTGAACTGTGCGTGTGTGTGCACGTGTGCACTCCCACAGGGCTGTCAACTGTGCATGAGTGTACATGTGCTCGTGTGCGTCTGTGTGAAAAGCGCGTGGGTGTAAATGGTGTGAGTTGTATGTGCGCACGCATACGTGCACGGGTGTGCAAGTGCTCCTGCATGGGCGTGAACTGTGCATGTGTGTGTGTGCCCCCGGCGTAGGTGTGAGGTGTGCGTGCGTGTGTGCACTGTGTGTACACGTGTGTGTGGTGGGGAGGGTGGAGGGACTCGGGACCTCTGGTCCCCACACGGAGCTCGCCATGAGGAGCCAGCCACCACTCACGCTGCGTGCCTCCAGCGCACGCCCCTTCTGCTCAGAGCCTGGCGCCAGGTGGAAATCGTCAGCAGCAGCTGACCCGGGGGTGCACAGGGGGTGCCCAGCGGCAGCAAAATCCCAAGACTCTCTAAAACCCCATCTCCCTGGGCCTCCACCCACGGGGGCGGCCTGCGGGACGGGCTCCCACCAAGGCAGGGCTGGCCGGTCGGAGGGGGTAACGCATGCAGTCCCGGAAAATGCGGGACGTGCAGGCACGGAGCTCCGGGCAGAAAACCAGGCCTTCTTGCTGGGCCGCCCATAGCTGCCCACCTGCCACCTCCGGGCCCCCCCACGGCCCCACCCGTCAAAGTCCTAAACCCACCCAAGCACCCCAGGCCTCCAGAGCTTCCAGGGGCACTGGGCCATTTAGCCCCTCCAAAAACCAGGGTGTCCATCGCCAGCTCAGGGCGCTGACCTCCGTGACAGCCTGACAACCCCAAGCACCCCAAGAACAGCAACCCTAAGAGGAGGCCCCCAGTCCTCAAGGCCAGGCACGCGCCCTAAACCGGCCTCCTACCCCAGCCCAGCCCGACACAACAAGATAATCACGAGAGAGAAGGGGTCACCTGCTGGGGGGGGGCGGGCAGGGCGCTGGCGTGGCCGGGGCCAAGTCCCGAACTCTTATCTGCAACCCAATTCTTATCTGCAACCCAATTCTTGAGCGTTTCTACAATTCGGAGCAGAGTCCACAGCTCCTCAGCTTACGGCTGAGATGAAACCTATACGTCCTATCGCAGCATCTAGCAGCCTTCTCTTGCGAGTCCCGTGCTGTGGCCACAGGCCAAGGCGCCCGCCCTGTGCGCCCCTGCCATCCCGCGGAGGCCGGGGGGCGGGGGGCACGGCCCTTACCTTGGCTTCACATCTCCTGTGGCAGCAGTACTTGCAGGCTGCAAGAGAAGGAGAAAGAAGGAGTGGGTGTCGAGCGGACTCAGCAGCAACTGGTCTCACCCCTGTGAACCCCGCCCGCCGCTGGAGACCCTCGGGATGCGGTGCCACATCGGCAGAGGGCGGGGGAAAGGGGGCAAGGACCCCGGGAGGATGGCCACGCGGCCTCCATGTGCGCCTGGGAATGACAGCTTGTCCCTGAACGGGGGTGGGAAACCCCGAAGAGCCCCCGCAGCATCAGGGCTGGCGACCGCCTTCCAGTCGGCGACGGAGCTGCCCGCTGAGCGCCACACGCACCGCACTTCCGCGTGGCCTGGGAACGACTGTCCCAAGAAGTCCACGTCCACATTCCAGCAGGGGAATCCTCCCGCCGGGGCCGTCATGTGAGCGCTGAGCCCGGAGGCCCCGGCCGCGCAGCCCTGGGGCCGGAACCAATGGGGATTTTCCAGGCCTGCCCCCGGGAGGCTGTGGCCGCTGATGGAGGAGGCCCCGGATGCCAGGCGGAGGAGGCCCTGGGTGCCAGGCACAGGAGGCCCCCCGGATGCCAGGCGGAAACAGCAGGACCGGGAGGCGGGGACATAGGGAGGGCAGGGGACAGCCCTGCATGGGCACGCTCCACGCCTCTGCTTCCCCTCCCCGCCTGACCGCGATGCCATCAAGGAAGCCGGGGTGACACGACAAGCACGATGTCAACCTACACAGGTGTGTGGGGTCCTGGGAGAATGAGGCCCTGGTGGGGGCGTGGGGCCGGGCCCTGACCTGCTCGGTGCCTCAAAGCGCCCACACACAGACGAGGGTACAGCAAAGTCACTGGGCCACCGGCGGGGGGCACTGGACGCCAGAACCAAGCGGCCGGGGCGTTATCTCTGCGAGATCTCTCTCCTGATGGTCTCTATGCCTCTGAGGCTCGCGAGTTATTCACAGAGACGCAGGGACTCGGCGCGAAGGCGATGAGAGAGGCTCTAACCAAGACAGACTTGCCTTTGGGATAAAAGGGGCTTCGCGCCAGACCGGGAACGCGACAGGGAGCCCAGCGGGGGCTGGAGGCTGGTAGGACGTCCCGAGGTCACGAGGACATGCTCAGAGGCCTGGGCTTCTGGGTGAGCGAGAATCAGCAGAAATGCAGGTAGGAGCCCCAAAGGATGCTGTGTGCGCACACCCCGAGCAGGGCGGGTGGTCCAGCGCAGCCAGGGCCAGCGGCATGAATTCTGTGGCTGTCACACTCCAGGAGGCCCCAGGTGACTGGTGGGCCACACCGCCCAGCTACGTGGGCCCCGGATTCCCATCCCGCGGAAGCAGGGACGAAGGGCAGATGCCACTGCCATGGCACGGTCCTAACTGCCGCCGGGGTCATTGGCCACAAGCAGACATCCTTGCTGCAACGGGCCAGCTCAACCCCGAAAGGGGTCTGGCCAGGGCAGCGTGACAGGCGCGGGGACACACGCACAGGGCAGATTTGTCCCACGACTTGGCCTTCGTCGGGTAAAGTCATCGTATTCACGAGGGTCAACCAATCACAGCAAAGCGGCGCCAACCCGAGCACTGCGGTGGAGACCCCAAGAGGTGGACCTGTTGTTTCCGGGACATCGGCAGGCGACTCCCAAAGTCTTAGGGCATCCCCTGGGGTTTCCCCAAAGAGCGGCCTCAGGGGAACCACGACCCCGGCCTGCTCGGTGGCTCCTCCTAGAAGTGCACACACGCCTCGTGGGCCAAGCAGACGTGCAGTTCTCGTGCCAGGAGGAAGGTGGCAGCCAGCGCTCCACCCGGAGCCCTCCATCGCTCCTCCGAGGCTGGGTGCATGCGTCCTAGGAGGCCCTGGCCTGCCTTCCCCGCCCCGGCAGTCGTCCCGGTGTACCTCACTCTGCGGCGGCCTTTGTCATCCATCACGGCCACCCGGAGCAGTGGTGGGAACGGGACCGGCACCGACCCCACGGAGCACCCCCACGGAGCGCCCACCGCGCATCAGCTGCGCCCGCAACACCTTCCACCGCACGGGCCTGGACGACGTCACCTGCGCCACAGAGCAGGTTTACAGCCCACGACCCCTCAGGTTGCCCGGGAGGCGGTCGCAGAAGCCGGCGCACAGGGCGGGGGCCGCCTACCCGGCTGCCCACCCACCCGCCCCGCCTGCGGCTCCCGCTTCATTGTCTGCTCCCGGCTTTCCGGAGCTGTAATTGGGAAAATTGCAGGGGTGGAAGGTGTAGAACACGATGGCCTGCGTGTGTCTACATTGTGAGCTCTTTGCCGACGTTAATTACCCATCGCGCTCCCTTGGCTGCGCGCGAGGGAGAGAAGCCGAGACCCACCCTCTCAGCAAACCCCAAGCGGCCAGCCAGGCCCCACGCACCACCGCTCAGTAGATCCCGGCTCGCTCACCTCGCCCCTGCAGGTCTGCGCCCAGACCCGCATCTCCCCATCTCCGCACGCCCAACCCCGGAAACCACCACTCTATCCCCTTTCACTTGACTTTGAGGTACCTGGGGGTTTTCTAAGATTTCGCATGCAAGTGACACCATAAAGGGTTGGTCTTTTTCGGGCGTATTTCAGTTAGCGGATTCTCCGGGTTCGTCCACGCTGTTGCAAACAGTGCGGTTTCCCCTTTACACGGCTGAGCGATTTTCCGTCGTTTACAGACCACACGTCACATCCTTTACCCATTCGTCCGCAGTGGACACTCAGATCGCTTCCGTATTGTGGCTGTCGGGAACGAGGACTTTGCGAGCGAGAGAGTACAGATGTCCCTCTGAGATAACGATCTCATTCCTTTCGAATAAAAACCCAGAAGTGGAACTGCGAGATGATAAGAAAGCCCAGGTCTTCCGTTTTGAGGAACCGCCACACTGTCCTCAAGAGCAGCCGCCCCGGTCTGCATTCCCAGCAACACGGCGCAGGGCCACCCTTTCCGCATATCGTCACCGGCACCTGTTATCTCTTATCTTTTCCACGACAGTCGCTCGAACAAGTGTGAGACGACAACTCACTGTAGTTTGCGTTTCCTTGATGATGAGCGACGCTGAGCATCTTGTCACGTGCCTGTTGGGCATCCACACGTCTTCTCTGGGAAAGTGCTATTTAGTTCCTCTGCCCATTTCTTTTTTTTCTAATTTTTATTTATTTATGATAGTCACAGAGAGAGAGAGAGAGGCAGAGACACAGGCAGAGGGAGAAGCAGGCTCCATGCACCGGGAGCCTGACGTGGGATTCGATCCCGGGTCTCCAGGATCGTGCCTCGGGCCAAAGGTAGGCACCAAACCGCTGCGCCACCCAGGGATCCCCCTCTGCCCATTTCTTAATCCCGTTATGTGGTTGTCTGTTACGGAGCTGTAGGAGTTCTTTGTATATTTTGGATACTAATCCCTCATCAGACACATGACGTGCAACAGCCTCTCCCATTCTGTGGGCTGCCTACCCATTTTCTTGACAGCGTCTTCGGCTGTGCGGAAGCTTTCGAGGTGGATGTAGTGCCACTGGTTGACGTTTGCTGTTGCTGTCATGCCCAGGAAATCGCTGCAAAGACCAACATCAAGGAGATTTTCGTCTGTGTTCTAGTCATTTTACGGGTTCAGGTCCCACACTTAAGTCTTTGATTCAGCTTAAGTTTTTTGAGTGGTTGAGACCCAAGTGCAGCGTCACTCTTCTGCATGTCATTACCCATCTTCCCAGCATGGCTCGTGGAACCGGTTATCCTTCCCCGATGGATGTCCCTGGCATCCTTGTCAGAGATGATGCACACGCAGGCTTATTTCCAGGCTCCCGATGTGCTCCACTGGTCACTGTGCCTATTTCGACGTCAGCGTCACCCTGTCCTCATCAGTACGGTTTTGCAATATGGTCCGAAATCAAGGAGCGTAATGCCTCCAGCTCCGTTCCTTCTGAAGATCGCTTTGGCTATTTGGGGTCTTTCATAGTCTCAGGTGAATTTTAGGGCTGTTTCTGTTTCTGTAAGAAACGCCATTGGAATTTTGATAGAGATTGTGTTCAATCTGCAGATTGCAGTATGGATATTTTAACGATATCAATTCTTTCAATCCAAGACCATGGGCTATCTTTGCATTTATTTGTGTGCTCTTCGATTTCTTTCACCAATGTCCTACAGTTTCCAGAGTACAGGTCTTTCACCTTATAGGTCAAACTTATTCCTAAGTATTTTACTGTTTTTGATGCCACTGGAAATGAGATTCCATCCTTAATCTCTCTTTCAGACAGTTCACCGTTAGTGTCCAGAAATGCAATGGATTTTTGTACGTTGGTCTCATATCCTGCGACTTTACCGAATTCATTTATTAGTTCTAAGAGTTTTTCAGTGGACTCTAAGGTTGTATATGGTATTTGTTCCTAACACTGGACTTTTATAAATTCGAGAGAACATTCAACTGTACGAACGGTCCTGAATTACTGTGTTAAAAAAAATAATTTTAAAAAACTGCAGCAGTCCCCGTGAAGAGTGGAATCTGTGCAGGTTTTAATACAAAGAGACTCTACGCTCTGTTCCCAGATGAGGATAAACATGCTAATCTCAGCATTTCTGGGCCCGTCACCATGTAAGGCCGTGACTCTGCCTCCAAAGACCAGTCCTGATGGCTCTACGTGTGGATGGCATCAAATGCGTGCATTACACAAACATGTTCATTGCAGTTTCCCCAGAATCTCATTACTTTCACTCGCTTACATGAAAATGAAAAGAATTCCATCGACCCTAAATGCAAAAACGTCCCTTTCATTAAAAAACAATACACACTTGCCTCGTTACTCCCATTACCTTTTGCTCCATCACAGCCCTTGTCCAATTTCCTGCTAAAATCATTAGCACGTCCTCTGAGCTGAAGGACGGAGGCCCCACACGCTGGACTCGGTTTCCCCACCCGTGACACAGGTGGCCAGGGGGTTAGCAGAACACGCAGTGCAGGACAGCGCCGGCTGGGAGCTCCTCGGACGCACCACACGTGCCCGCTTCTACCACCAAAACTCAGCCCGAGTCTCTGAAGACGCCCCCGAAATGCAC